CACACTATAAAGTACAGTCAGGCCCTTACTCACCTCTGGTAACTGATTATTAGTTTCATAGAACATAGCAAAGGCAGTCCAGAGTGTGTGTGGTTTCCCCACTGCTTGCTCTATATTGACAGCCTGAACTGCCTCAGTGAATGTTTTAATAATGTCTGAGGGTCTTCCTTCAAACAGTGCCACCCTCTTGTGCCACTCGTGGACGTTGTGAGGATTCTGACGGAGGAGGACGCTACTAAGGAGAACTGGCCTGGTGTCCATTAGGTTCTCAAAATGGGAGAGTCTTAATTCCAACTCAACCTCATCTAGTAAATAATAATAATAATAGTACATACAAAAACGGCCACTATCTTGATTCTTAAATTGAAAAATTAATCTATATGTACATGTATATAGTATCAAGAGTAGAGCTACTCTTGACAGTATGGTAAGTGTTTTATTTATAACTATCAGGGATAAAAATTACCAAAGTTAAACTATAATTTAGATGAATGATCTACATTGTACATGTACACATATATACGCATTAACAAATCAAAACTACATGTACATGTACCAAATGCATTTCTATAGAAAATTGATTATAAAACATAACCAAACATACATGTCACATACATAAAACATTATATTACAGTTCTCATACCTTCCTCAGTTAGTTCTGTGGTTGACTCCATCTTTGATTGTATCATTGTTTCCTCATATTGTGAATAAGCATCAAATATTTGTGTGAAATCACGAACTGTGATGACAGAGTGTATCCCCTCATTGTATATGTCCCTACCCTAATTAAAGAGCACCCACAGTAAATATTCAACATTTAGTAATTATTAGTGTTTTATGCACATCTATAAACAGTACTGAGCTATTAATATGCTATAAAAAAAGTTTGAGCTAATTCTGACAAATATCTTGTTGAGTTATGAGCACTTTAAAAATGAGCCAAATTTTGGAAAAAAAGCAAAGGCTATAGCCCATGGTTTTTTCAAAAAAATAATGACTATGAAATCATGCCAAATTTTTATTACATTTTCTGATGCATATTGATGTCCTTATGCTATGTAGAAAGTTCGAGCCAATTCCAACTTAAATTTTTAAAGTTACAGCCATTTTAAGAAATTTGCCAAAATCTGAAAAATACCCAAGGCTATAGCCCATGCTTTTTTCCAAAAAATGGCTAAAAAATCAGCCCCAATTTTTATTACATTTTCTGATACATATTACATTTTCTGATACATATTGACGTCCTTATGCTGTGTAGAAAGTTTGAGCCAATTCCGACTTAAATTTTTCAAGTTATGGCCATTTTAACAAATTTTCCAAAAATCTGAAAAATACCCAAGGCTATAGCCCATGCTTTTTTTAGAAAAATGGCCAAAAAATCACCCCCAATTTTTATTACATTTTCTAATACATATTGACATCCTTATGCTATGTAGAAAGTTTGAGCTGATTCCAACTTGAATTTTTTGAGTTATGAACATTTAAAAAATATAAACTACATGTACAGTACTG